GTTATAAATTGTACATTTATGTTACCGAAAATTACAAAATAATTATCATTACTTTTTTTACACAAAAAGTTAATCTCAATCTTCCTTATCTAAAAGAAAATAATTAAATTTCAAAATCAAATATTATAATTCTCATCGGAGAAATTAAAAATATTCTAAAGTATTTTAAGGTTTAGATTTTATTCTTCAAATGATAGTAGTACCAATTACTTCTTGACAACTCTAATATGATCATATTTATAAGTAAACATTTCTCATAAAATATGAGTAGCACCAACTCCCTTTAGAACCCAAAACTCCATTTCTTCTTCCCATTACCCACGTTGCTTCTATTTTTTTAGTGGAGGTTAACATTTAAATAATATATCAATTTAATCTATGTTAACATGTTTATTTACCAAGTATTGTGTACTCTCTTATAATCTCTTATGTATTTGATCATCGTATAGTAATTTTTTCCTTTTTTATTCATTAACTTTTTCTATCAAGGATTTTTCATTTTCTTTTTCCCTTTTGTTTTGTGATCAAACATCCTTGTTATAGTTGACAAATACCAGTACGATAGTTGTGACAGATACATGGGTTGCAGATTCTGTAATATATAAAACAGCTGGAGAGATATGCCTGTTTTCTAAGAATAATAATGTTGTATCCCGGATATCTGTGCATTTGAAGATGGTGAATCCAGCAAACAACGGTGAAGAAAGAGGCTGATACTGCTATAAGACGAGATCGTGGAACTCAACCGGAACCTGAAAGTGAACAAAGGATTAACAGAAGCAATCTGCACCATTGCACCAGCCTGAACTTACAAAAGCCCCTGTTACACAAGCACGTAGAGCTTCCTTTGCATTAAGCACAAACTCCAATCGGAACAGCTCTCCTCGGTGCTACTAACATTCCAGAAATCTATAGCATTATCCTCACATAATCCGAGCATGCCCATCATAATTCACTAAATGAATTCGAGTATAACAAATTTATCCTGTGGATTTAATATGGTTCAATGATTCGTCAAATGTTCAATACATTGTACTTTGAATGTTAAAAACTAATACAGGACATTATGAGATTTAAAAGGTACTGGTATTTGGAAAAAAAATTATATTACACAAGAAGAAGATTCACTAAAAATCAAAACAAACACTAATCATCATCACTTCCATAGTCAAACAGAGATAGGAGACCGGTGCTTGTTTCTTCTTACTTCTCTTCCTTTGCCGGTTTCTTCACAATGATCATTGATGGCTTGAAAGGAGCTCGACGACTCCCCGAAACACTAGAACCTGTTCATTTATCAAATATCATAAGGAATATGTTCATAGATTATTTTAAAACAGTATACAATGTGAGAATACTACAAACACCTTTACTGTTGGAATCCTTGGGAATATCGACTTTTGTCAAAGCATCTGTGGGGTTACTCGAAGCTTCTTCAGACACCTTTCGCCTCTGCATACCATACAAACCAAAGCACAATTATCTCAGAAGTATGGTCAGGGTACAACTTAAATGCAAAATAAACACCACAAATACCAGTTCTACAAACATACTTCAATTTCAACTCATGTTTATGCACACTCTTTAATTAATTGATTTGGTAAGTTCAATAAAAAATATCTGAAATTTTAATTTACTTGTATGCATTTAAAAAATGTTTTGACTATATTCGTACATGATGTTTTTACTAACTTAAGTTGCACCATGTATTACCTTTGAGGTTTCACCATTGCCACTCGATAAATGCATTAAATCCCCATCATCGTCGAAAACATCATCTGAAATCCTTCGAACCACTTCCTTTGGCCTCTGCATTAAAATTTACACCGACGTTAGAAACATGCCACCAAGAACGAAGACGGGTGCTAAGAAAAGCAATAATCCAATAACCTGGAAAATTGATTTTATAAGGGCGTCGTCTTCTTCTTCTATATTCTTCTCCTGTTAACACATTATTACCTTGTAGTCAGAATCAGAAAAGAGAAGAAAATCTAAGCATATTAAGCAATTTGCTAATCACCTATCATGCCGATGTTTTGTTTGCATGCACACTCATGTCCCTCTCTCAACGAGTATGAGGGTATATAAACTGAACATTCGTAAAGATGCTAATGTAAGAGATCAGATTTAGGAGAGCTTGCAGTTACTAAGCATAACTCGACAAGACCATCCAAATAGAGTACAAATGAAGCACTCATGAGATTTTTCTGCAACAAAACCGCTTTATCCATTAAGAAATAAATAGAAGTATCCTTAACTTTTCTGAAGCAGTGTGCTGCAAGGCCTCCAGCATCGCATCTACGCTCACGGTTGCATGTCTGGACTGCAATATAAAATACACAGACACAATGAAAACAAAGTAAATACTTGCCTTTACTTTTATAAGAGTAATCTTGCAGGTATCTCTTGCATATTAAACAAAAGTCGGTTCAAGTGTTTACCTAACTTCATAGACTTCATTTCATCATGGAATCCCCCATTTCTTCGGATTCTCTTTTTTGTCTCTCTTTCTCTGCTTCCTAACAAAAGGAAAGATGAAAGATATCATTATACAAGCCATTACTACATATCCAACAATGTTAAAAGAACTACAGCAACATTTAGCTTGACGCGCAAAGCTCTCACCTCATCCTCAGCACGCCAAGGTTCAGAATTTCATGTTGAACCTGATTCGACAACATAATCTGAATTTTGTGGATCAGTCTTTATTATCATCTCAGCAGAGCACTTGGTGCACTTGAAATAAAACCTAAAAATTTGGATTCCCAAATATGTCTGCAGATAAGTGGAAAAAGGATAAGTGATTAAATACACTAAAACATTACGATCTCATTCACTAATTAGTTAAAAACTAATGAAAACGAGGGTTTGGAAAATGTATCAATCCAGAAATTTGTATAGGGTGTCATATCGCGATATCAATTCGGGTATACATTGGACCAGACCAGGTAATTCAATCAAAGCGAAGCCCGAGTAACATAGGCATTCAATGTCCCTACCTTAAATTAGCTACTTGAACAAACCAGCAAACACGTATGTACACTGTTTGTTTCTGTTTAAAACCAATTGGCATGATTTTGTGTTTCTACTGTTTGATTTTTCTTAATAGCGAAATTTAAAGCAGAAAAATAAAACGCAAAAGTTAACAACCAAACAGAATCTTGCAAAGCATAAAATAGCTTGTAATTGTATCTTTTTTCTGCATATTTTTTCTTGAATTCAAAACTGGAATATGCAAAACAAACCCTAATATTTTTAAACAATTAAACCGAAGCTAAAGAGTCAGAAGAAAGCTTCAACTTACCTCGCCGATAACATCTTCTTTGCGAGAATTGAACTTCGTGCCTTTGTAGATGTAGTTCCCACATGTATTACAACGTATGCTCATCGGAAGCATCATCCGAACTTTCATCTGTTGGTTCTTTGGTCGCCGGACCCTCGGAAGCTTCGACGGATCGAAGTCCGGCGGGTAATATTTGTTGAGCACTTTTCGCTCTCCCCATCTTCTAAGATCACAGACTTTGATTACGGTTTCAAATTAAGAAATTATGACGGAGAAATGCAGATGAAGAGAGCAATCGATCTTTCGATTTCAAGTTCAGGGTTTCGAGGAAGAAAAAAACCAATTGGCATGATTTTGTGTTTCTACTGTTTGATTTTTCTTAATAGCGAAATTTAAAGCAGAAAAATAAAACGCAAAAGTTAACAACCAAACAGAATCTTGCAAAGCATAAAATAGCTTGTAATTGTATCTTTTTCTGCATATTTTTTCTTGAATTCAAAACTGGAATATGCAAAACAAACCCTAATATTTTTAAACAATTAAACCGAAGCTAAAGAGTCAGAAGAAAGCTTCAACTTACCTCGCCGATAACATCTTCTTTGCGAGAATTGAACTTCGTGCCTTTGTAGATGTAGTTCCCACATGTATTACAACGTATGCTCATCGGAAGCATCATCCGAACTTTCATCTGTTGGTTCTTTGGTCGCCGGACCCTCGGAAGCTTCGACGGATCGAAGTCCGGCGGGTAATATTTGTTGAGCACTTTTCGCTCTCCCCATCTTCTAAGATCACAGACTTTGATTACGGTTTCAAATTAAGAAATTATGACGGAGAAATGCAGATGAAGAGAGCAATCGATCTTTCGATTTCAAGTTCAGGGTTTCGAGGAAGAAAAAAAGTAAGAGGCTTTGGCGATTCGAAAATAAGAGGATTTTAACCTTAGGCGTGAGTGAGTACAAATATTACTTATATAACACTTTCCTCCGCAGAATAAATAATACATATATAATGTATACTAAATAAAATCTAATAATAGTATGATTACTAAATATTAGATGGTTGATAATTTTTAAATAAATATTATTTTGTAAAATTTTAATTAATAAAATAATAATATATGAAGTACAACTTTAATTATTTTATTTTTAAAATTTAAAATTGTAAATTCATTTATTTAATTCATTCATCTAAATATCTTCGACATTAATATACGAAAAGATATTTATATTAATATATTAAAATTTATTTAATATACAGATTGTATAAAATTTCATTTATACAGTTTCTTCTATTTTAATATACTTATTTTATTTTATAGTTAAACATTAAAATATAAAAATAAATTACAAAGACCAATTTCATTTAATTTTTTATTTTAATCACTAAAATTTTAAATAGTATATAACAATTATTTATGTTGTCTTCATCAAATTAATTTTATTATATAATTATATGCCACGTTAGTGTTTATATTTTGAATTCAACTATATAGTAATTTGAAAAATCTTTAATATGTTAATATTTGTATACAAATTATTAAATTAATTTATTATATCAAATCCTAACAGCAATCACGTGACATTGAGATTGATGTGTGTGTATACATATATTAAAATTTGTGATCTGTATTGCTTTAATCCAGAATCGTTAAATGTCGCACAAACCCAAAGATTTCACCAAAAACAAGAACAAGAGGAACGATTTCAACGTTTTCCTCTTTCGACTTTTTCCAACAATTAATTGATTTTTTCCTCCTCACTTGCTGTCAGTGAAATCTGCATCGATTACATCCCCATCGGGTCCCTTGTTTGATGAATCTGAAGGTCCACTTTCAGCACCGGGCGCAGGACCGGCACCAGGTTGGTTGTAAAGTGACTGACCAAGTTGCATCACTTCTTGATTGAGTGCAGCAATGGCATCCTTCATACCTTGTGTTGAGTCCTGTGATATTGCATCCCTGAGTTCTTGCAACTTTTTCTCTACTTTCTCTTTCACCGGACCCGGGACCTTGTCTCCTAGCTCTTTCAGCTGCTTCTCCGTCTGATAGACCACAGAATCGGCTTGGTTCTTTGTGTCAATGGCGTCCCTTCTCTCCTTATCCTCTTTCGCAAACTTCTCAGCTTCCTTAACCATTCTATCAACCTGTGCATATTTCAACAAAAGAATCGAGCGAAGGTTTACTATCAGTACTTGCATCCGAATCAGATGAAAAGGGCTTCAAAGCAATTCATGGGAGAAACAATAGAAATACGTCCAAATTTAAATGTGCATACCTCATCATTCGGCAAAGTACTAGCACCAGTAATAGTGATGTCCTGCTTCTTCCCGGTTCCTTTATCAATAGCAGTGACTGAGAGGATGCCATTGGCATCAATGTCGAATTTGACTTCGACCTGTGGTACACCACGTGGTGCTGGTGGGATACCATCAAGTCGGAAGCTGCCAAGAGACTTGTTATCCCGAACAAACTCTCTTTCACCTTGGAGTACATTGATCTCAACGCTTGTCTGGCCATCGGCAGCTGTGGAAAACACCTCTGATTTTGAGGTTGGCAGTGTGGTGTTTCTCGGGATAATTTTGGTCATAACACCACCAAGAGTTTCTAGACCAAGTGACAACGGGGTCACATCCAAAAGCACAATATCACTGACATCTCCGGATAAAACACCGGCCTACAACCGATGAGAGAAAGAGAAAGACAACGGAAAACATCAAAAATAGAATCAAAACAATCACAAGATCTGTTAAGCAAGTAAACAACTCAATGCAGCATTCAACTTCAATGGAACAAATACTATAGAGACAGATGCAACTTAAGCATGAATAAACCAACCTGAACTGCAGCCCCCAAGGCAACAACTTCATCCGGATTAACAGTCACATTAGGTTCCTTGCCAGTCAACTTCCTCACAAGTTCCTGAACAGCTGGGATACGCGTTGATCCACCAACAAGAATTACCTCATCTATGTCCCTAAAGGACAATTTTGCATCTCTGAGGGAATTCTCCACCGGTGTCTTGAGCCTATAGGGATCATCAGTGATTAAGCCCAAAAATTTGGAACAACTACAAACATACCCCCCCCTCCGGTTGAAAGGATAAAAACTACCTGTCAAGAAGGTCTGAGCACAATTCTTCAAACTTGACCCTCGTAAGAGTGGTCTCAATGTGTTTAGGCCCATCTGCAGTTGCAGTTATGAAAGGTAAACTGGAACAACGAAAAATGTTGCATTAATGAACACCACCTACAAAAAGCACAAACAAAATATGTACACGAAGAAAATACGGGGAGAGAATTGCCTTATGTTTGCTTGAGTCAAAGACGATAACTCCATTTTAGCCTTCTCAGCCGTCTCGGTTAACCGTTGAAGAGCTTGTTTGTCTTTCAAAATATCAATGCCTTCATCTCTCTTGAAGCTTTCAGCAAGCCAGTCAACAATTCTCTGCGCGCAAAATACAAGAATACTTCAGCTGTCAGTATTGAAATATAAAACTAATATGAAAGAAGAATGTTCCTTAGTCGAAGTATAATTACCTTATCAAAGTCGTCACCACCCAAATGTGTGTCCCCAGATGTAGAGAGCACCTCAAACACACCATCACCAACCTCAAGCACTGTAAACATATTAACAAATAAACAATCAAACATTCGTTGGCATACTCACCTATTTTTTTATTTTATTTTTTTGAATTACCCACCTCCAACACTCATGTTTGATATGAACTCCAGAGATCAACTATAGACATATTAGACACATGCATATTCGATACTCGCCTATAAATCTTCCCCAACTAAACATTTCAAGAAAAATAAACAGTGGGAGTGAGATACGAAGTCCCTATACATGCAGATGAACAGTTTCTTGACCAGCTACAATACCTGAAACGTCGAATGTACCACCTCCAAGATCAAACACAAGGATGGTTTCATTGTTCTTCTTCTCAAACCCATATGCCAAAGAGGCAGCAGTAGGTTCATTGATAATCCGAAGAACTTCTAACCCAGCAATTCGGCCGGCATCCTTCGTTGCTGTCCGTTGGGAATCATTGAAGTAAGCAGGGACGGTAACAACAGCTTTGGTCACTTTATCATTCAAAAACTTTGAAGCATCATCTACAAGCTTTCTCAAAACCTATAATCCAAAATCAATTATAACCCATTAGCCATGCAAAGATTCTAAATTTCTTACATATAAATTCGAAATTATATAATTTTTATTCCAAAAATTCCCAAATTATCAAATTTTCAAGTCGAAGGAACTTAATGAACATAGCTATAATATACCTGAGCTGAAATTTCCTCCGCGGCAAATTGCTTACCAATGGCGGGACACTCGAGCTTAACATTCCCGTTATCATCTCTTACAACCCTGTAAGAAACCTGTTTCGATTCCTCATCCACCTCAGACATCTTCCTTCCGATAAACCTCTTCACGGAGAAGAACGTATTCTCAGGGTTAACGACGGCTTGTCGCTTCGCAATCTGCCCAACCAACCTATCCCCATTCTTGGTATAAGCCACCACAGACGGCGTCGTTCTCTGCCCTTCCGCATTCGTAACGATCGTGGGTTTCCCTCCTTCCATGGCGGCCACCGCCGAGTTAGTAGTCCCGAGATCGATACCGACTACTTTCTCGTTCACAATTCTAACCGGACCAACGTTGTACCGTCCAACTTTGCCGTTGGATTTCTGCAGCCGTAAGAAGGCGGCGCTCAACGGCGACGGCTTACCCAGCCGTTGACCGAAGAAAACGGTTCTAGGAGAATGGTGGTTGGGTTTTCGCGGAGAAGCGAAACCCATACCACCGAGAACATGGAGTTGAGCAGTGGAAGAAGCCATGGGAAAACAAATCCAAATTCCCAAGACGAAAACAGAGAGCGAAAGGGTGAAAGAGAAGGTCAAATGGAGAAGGGATTACAGGCTGAGTTGGGTTTAGGGTTAGGAAGAAGATAAGGAGAAACCGGGGGCAAGAAGGGTTTTAAGAGAAACAAAGGGAGTGGTGACGAATGACTGCGTGCGTTGGTGTAAGGGTTATGTGGTGACACGTGGACAGCTCCTTGTCGCCGTTTGGATGGCGAGAAAAAATCTTGGTCGTTGGAAAACTTGGGCTCAAAGCTCAAATACATTGGTGGTTGGAAAGAAATTAATTAATAGCATGTAATTCATAAAAATTGTGGGATTATCACATATAAAATGCAATTTTTTTTATTGTATTGAAACTTTGAGCATTGATTTCCGATGCAACGGATATCGAATTTCGAGTTGACGGATATTGAATTTTGAGTTGTTTTGGATGTAATAGGAGAGTTTTCGAGGTGCAAGATCTTCGATTCGTTTACAACTTGAAAACAAAATATAAAGTTCATAACAATCATCATAAATTTGATATTCATATACAATAATATTGTAGAATTGTAAAAATGAAATAAACAATTATTTAATTATTCATATACAATTTTTCCATTGATTTCCGATGTAACGATGATCGAATTTCGATCGTTCAAAAATGTCATACATGAGTTTCCAAAGTGTAAGAACATCGATTCTTCGGCAACTTCAACCGATTCTTACTTTGCCATGGATGAACTCTTGAAGTATCAAAATATATAGAAGAAACGGTCTCATTCCTTCTCTGTGATTACCACAAACACATCCTTCACTGACCATCTTCTTCTCTCATTTTTGGCTGGTGGGTTGATAACGGCTCTCTCGGCGTTTGTTAAACGGTAACCTATAACGATTTCTCTCCTTTGTCGAGTGTTAGGAAAATAAACCGAGTACAAGTAATTTCCCTTTAACCAGATTAGTGAGAATGCGAAATAAAAGCGGAAAAATAATACCCGAAAATTGATAACGGAGTTCAGCCAATTGTGCTTACGTCTCCGGGCTGCTGCAGATCTTTTACTAAGAGAGAAAATTTACAGGTGTTTACAAAACACTCACTACTCACAAGAAAGCTCTCTAGTATAGGAAGAAAGAAATGTTTTGGGATGATTTTGAAGCTAAATGGGTAAGGGTATTTATAGTAGAAACTTAGGGACTAATCTTTGAAAATACCCTAAAGTGCAATGACTAAAGTGAATTTACCCATTCCTATTTTCAACAAACATCTACCAAAATTTTACCAAACTTTGAAAAACATTTTTCAAAGAAACATTTACCAAACTTTGAAAAAACATTTTCCAAAGTTGGTTACCAAACTTTGAAACTTTTAACAATCTCCCATTTGAAGACTGATTTTAATATGTCTTCACACCTCGATCAATGCAGCAGCATGTCTAGTCTTGTTATTCTAGCATGCCAACTGAAGCTGAACACAACTTCAGTTTGTCCGTAGTCACCGTCTTTGTCAACATGTCTGCCGGATTTTGAGCTCCACTAATCTTTTCAAGTTTCAAAATCCCATCTTCCAGAAGAGACCGGATAAAATGATATCTCAATTGTATGTGCTTTGTCCTGGAATGAAAAGACGGATTCTTTGCTAGATGGATAGCACTTTGACTGTCGCAATACAAGATATTGTTTTCTTGTTTCTTGCCTAACTCTTCCAAGAAACTTTGGAGCCAAACCATCTCCTTGCTGGCTTCCGTAACAGCGACATATTCTGCTTCAGTTGTGGAGAGAGCAACTATCTTCTGTAGTTGAGAAACCCAACTCACTGCAGTTCCTCCTAGAGTATAGACATACCCTGTAGTGCTCCTTCTGATGTCGACATTTCCGGCTAAGTCAACATCTACATAGCCTGTCAGTATCATATCTCCACCTTTGAAACAAAGTGCTTTGTTTTGGTACCCCGAAGATATCTGAGGATCCATTTGACTGCTTCCCAGTGTACCTTGCCCGGATTATTCATGTACCTGCTAACAGCTCCCACTGCATGAGCAATATCTGGTCTGGTACAAACCATGGCATACATCAGACTTCCAATTGATGAGGCATACGGCACCTTCACCATGTGTGCACGTTCTTCCTCCGTCTTTGGTGATTGGTCTTTGGAGAGTCTGAAATGAACACCTAAAGGTGTACTTACTGGTTTAGCATCTTGCATGTTGAACCTGGAGAGTACTTTGTTGATGTACTCAGCCTGCGATAACATCAAAGTCCCCGACTTTGTGTCTCTCTTGATCCTCATCCCAAGAATCTGCTTTGCAGCGCCCAGATCCTTCATAGCAAACTGCTTCGACAATTTTTGCTTCAAGTTTATGATCTCTTTCATGTTTGAGCCTGCAACGAGCATGTCATCAACGTACAACAATAAAATAATGAAACTATTGTCGAACCTCTTGATGTAGCAACAATGATCTGCTTGGCATCTGGTAAAACCACTGCTACTCATGAAACTATCGAACTTCTTGTACCACTGTCTAGGAGCTTGTTTTAAACCATACAAGCTCTTCTTCAGCCTGCATACCATGTTTTTCTTTCCTGCCTCTATGAAGCCTTCTGGCTGCCTCATATAGATCTCTTCCTCCAAATCACCATGAAGGAAAGCTGTCTTTACATCTAACTGCTCGAGATGTAAATTCTCCGCAGCTACAATTTTCAACACCAGTCTGATTGTAGACAGTTTACGACTGGAGAGAAAATTTCATTGTAGTCAATACCTTCTTTTTGCTGAAAACCTTTGACAACCAATCTTGCTTTGTAGCGTTTTCTCCCATCATGTTCTTCTTTGATCCTGTAAATCCACTTGTTATGGAGCGCTTTCTTGCCTGGTGGTAATTCAGCTAATTCCCACGTCTGATTTGACATAAGCGAGTCCATCTCATCTTTCATGGAAGACTCCCACTTGACTGAATCCTCCACCTGCATTGCTTCATCATAGCACTCTGGTTCACCATTGTCAGTCAGCAACAAATAGTGCAAAGAAGGCGAATACCGTTGGGTTGGTTTAGGAATTCTGGAGGAGCGTCTCAGTTCTGGTGTATGTGGTTCTTCTTGAACTGCTTCAGGATTGATCTGAACATCATTTCCAGAAATATCCTCGAACTCAGCAAATTCCTTTGTTTCAGCTTCGGTATTACTTGATTCTGCGGTTGACCTATCTTGTACATCACATTTCATTGAAAATGACGTCTCTGCTTCTGATGATTTTTCGATTTTCGTAGTCCCAAAACCGGTAACCGAACTCATCACCACCGTAACCAACAAAGACGCATTTGTTGGACTTGGCATCAAGTTTACTTCTTTCAGCAGAGTTTATGTGTACATAAGAAATACAACCAAACACTCTTAAGTGTGAAAGGTTTATTTCTTTCTTGCTCCAAACTTCCTCTGGTATTCTGCCATCCAAAGGAACTGAGGGCCCACGGTTGATCAAGTAAGCTGCAGTGTTGATTGCTTCAGCCCATAGAAATTTGGGCAAGCCGGCATGTATCCTCATACTTCTGGCACGTTCATTCAGAGTTCTGTTCATGCGCTCTGCTACACCATTATGTTGCGGTGTCTTGGGAACTGTTGTCTCCATCTTGATCCCATTGTTTGCGCAGAAATCTCTGAATCTACTGTCTCTGTACTCTCCTCCATTGTCAGACCTCAACCGCTTGACTTTCAAACCAGTCTCATTTTCCACCATGGCCTTCCATTTTCTGAAGATATCGAAGACTTCTGATTTCTTCTTCAGAAAATAAACCCACACCTTCCTTGTTGAATCATCGATGAAGGTGACATAATATAGTGAGCCTGCAAGAGATGGAACTGGGGATGGTCCCCATACATCAGTATGAACCAATTCTAACCTTTCTGCCTTGGGTGTCTTGCCAATCTTTGCAAAACTGACTTTCTTTTGTTTGCCAAAGATGCAATCCTCGCATAGTCCGACATCTACATTTTTTAGATCCGGCAGCTTCCCTTTTGACAAAAGTGTCTTCATCCCTTTCTCGCTCATATGGCCAAGCCTTTGGTGCCATAGGTTTGATTTTCCATCAGCATCTGCTACTGCAATGATATTCTCTAAATTTGAGGTTACATAGAGAGTACCAGTCTTCTTACCACGAGCAATGACGAGTGCTCCTTTGGTAATCTTCCATTCACAGCCTGAAAAGGTTGTGCTATATCCTTCTCCATCAAGCTGTCCAACAGAAATCAGATTTCTTTTGAGGCCAGGAATATGTCTCACTCCTGTCAGCTTCCAGGTGGTCTGGTTTGGCAACTTTAGTCGGATGTCTCCTTTTCCGACGATCTTTAAGGTTTCATCATCAGCAAGATGAACCTTCCCAAAATCACCACTGACATAGTTCTCCATGATTTCTCGACATGGGGTGGAGTGGAAAGATGCCCCTGAATCCAAGATCCATGATTCAATCGGACTGTTGACGCTTAAAATCATGGCATCACCTGTCTCCTCCGTCATGTTGGCAGATTCCTGTGCGCCGGTATTTTTCTTCGGTGCTCGGCAATCTCTTTTGAAGTGACCCTTTTTGCCGCAATTATAACAGGTAAAATCTTTATTTCCTGTTCTTGATTTGCCCCTTCTAGATTTTGATCTGCCACGATTTGAATTTCTTTCTGAAGTTCTCCCTCTAGACTCCGTGTGTAAGGCTGAGGAGGTTGATGCTTCACCCGATTCTCTTCGTCGAATTTCTTCACTCAATACCAGATCTCGAACATCGTCGAATTTTAATTTGCTGTTTCCCGACGAACTGCTGACTGCTGTAACAGTAGCATTCCAACTGTCTGGTAGAGATGATAAGAGAATTAAAGCTCGAACTTCATCATCGAACTCAATTTCCACTGAACTCAACTGGGTTGTGATTGTGTTGAGTTCATTTAGGTGTTGTGCCACCGATGCCCCTTCCGCCATCCGCAAATTGAATAATCGCCTCATCAAATGAACTTTGTTTGAGGCCGATGGCTTCTCGTACATACTGGAGAGAGCCGCCATAAGACCCGCCGTGGTCTTTTCCTTTGCTATGTTAAAAGCAACATTGCGGGATA